GACTGTTTGTGTAGATAGACACAACATCGGAACTTACTAGCCTATCTTCTGAAATTGTCTGGTGATCAATCTATTTCATAAAATCATAAGAAATTTTACTGAAAACGGGCAGTTTTCCTTAGTTTCATTTAAAAAGCGTGGAATTTTATGTTTCACTCTTCTATTATTACTAACACTTAATCTTCCACCTCTCCATTTCTCCCGTACTTACGCAAGCCTTAAGGGCATCATTTAGCTTAATCTTAAGTATTGCTGAAAATATGAAGACAAAGATGTTGTGGCCTTTGGTATGGCTATCAATCACGGTGAAGCATTGATATGAATTTTGTCAAAAAATTAAAAACATCACTGGAAGAAACAGACTTACTTGTAAGTTTCGATGTGAAATCCATGTATACAAATATCGCTGGAGAAATGCGCTGAAGAATCTGCTGGAAAGCTTGGACCTAGAGGAGGATATCCTGGAATCACAACGGATAAGTAGGGAGTCATTAGCAAGGCTAATCAATTTGACAATAAGTTAAACCTATTTTACATTCAACGGGAACATTTATAAATAATTATTTGGACTTCCCATGAGATCGTCGCTCTCACCACTTTTGGCAGACGTATACATGAACAAAAGAGAACAGAAGTTCAAGATGGCACCGCTACAACCGTCAGTGCTCATGCGGTACCTGGATGATTATTTCGCACTTTGGTCACATGGAAGATAAAAATCTTGAAAAGTTTCTGAAGTTTGTAAACCAGATTGCTAAAAAAATTTAATTCACGATGGAAGTAGAGGAAGGTGAGCGGTTACCGTTCCTGGACGTTGAAGTGATTCGCTCAAATGGGACGCTCAAAAAAAATTGTTGAAAAATAAGTCCTAAGCTGGGATATTACTCAATTTCCGGTCCCATCACAATTACGGTCTAAAGATTGGATTAATGAGGAGCATGATCATCCGAAGCCTACGTCTAACGGATGCAGATTTCTAGGACGAGGGGCTGGACAAATTGACTAGGATCTTCCTCGGCAATGGCTACCCAAACGAAGTGATATAAATAAACATACGGGCCATGAAAGGCCCATGGCATAACGGGTATTATGAAAAAACAGTAAGGACGATGAAACATTCACAAATGTGAATGTGTCTACCTTACTGCGAACTAACTCAAAAACTACTGCTAATATCAAGTAAATGGAATATTCAGGTGTTTATTAATAAGAAATCAACACCTTTGACAAGTCTAGCGGCGCCACATGAAAGGTTAGATAAATTGGATTGTTCAGGAGTTTAGTGTATATCATGCGGCGGCTGGGGACAGAAATATATTGGCGAAACAGAGATAAAAATTAGCACATGAATCAAGGAACATCAAAGGCTCTGCAGGAAAATAGTTACCGAAAGATCAGAACTAGCGGAACACATTGCACAAACTGAACACGAGATCAATTGTAAGGCAAGAGAAAAAAGAGCCCCATACGATGACAACACAAGGAAGCAGAAGATAAGGGAGACCATTGACATTCTTGGGGAGAAAAACCTAATGAACAGGAGATTGGAGGAAGGTAGAGCTAGCGTTAACTTTGTCTACTGCATAAGCAAACTCGGGGAAAACAAGAATAGAGCAAGACCAGCAAAAAGAAGACGCCTGGATCAAGGATCTATCGCTAATCCTAGGAAAAGGGATCACAATGAATAAAGTGGGGGGCAGGGGTTTTCGACACTAAAGCGAAGACGCTGGCATTGAGTGATGCCCATTTCGAATAAACCAGTACAGCTTTGGGGACCTGGCAGTCAGGGAGCTAGGCAGACGGATAAGTAAACCGTCACGGAAATTCGGCGTTATGGCCAAAATGTACTAGAAATCCACATGCCACATGCGACCAGAGGTATGTGTCCACAGCTTGTTCAGGTTACAAGCGTTTAATCAAGGACTCGACTCGTGAAGGAAAGGCCTGAAATCTACAAGTATTGGTATCAGAGCTTACGTGCTATTCTCAGTGAAGTGGCAGTGTACATGCTCCTAAGGCCTTGAGAAATAGCGCCTTGAGTGAACCGCACACTGGGACTGGAACCGAGTGTAATCGGTTAACCAGAAAGATAACGAACGGATCTACGAGACAATGAAGAGGCCCGAGTCGGATCAGCCGATCGAAAGAGAAGGTGTCGGGGTGAATAGCAAGTGTGATGAGGCCACGCTAGATTTGCCACAAAAGGCACACATTTTGACGAGTGAAATGTAAACGAGTCAGAAGTTGTGCTAGGGCGGCAGTGAATTAAGGAAGTAAAGAGTAGATAGATAGGCCATGACAGATAGTGTAACCGTTACGACAGAACTTTTGTCGAGGGATTGGCATTAATTGTCTCTGACGAGTTTGTAGTTTGGTGCGGAGAATGGCAAAACTCACTGATGGTGCCGACTACGATGCCGGCGAAACGTTTGAGAATGTGCCAAGTCCACTTTCTGATCCTGGGAATCATGATAACTACTATGGCAGATGACTTCCGACTAGGTGCTTTTACTAAGTTGCCCTTACAACAAGACTAAGTTGCGACAAGGTAAACCCACTTATCTTTTTATTTTGGATCTCTCAATAGAGGCATATATGTTTCAATCTCGTTCAAATGAATTAGCATTTTTTCTACGTAACTTGATCTACCCATTACTACCACAGCTCTACCTTTGTCGGCTTTCATAACGATTAGATTATTACCACACAGATATCTAGAAACCCTAATAAGGAGACAAGCTTTCTTTGGCGGAATTATATGGTCAAAATGTGGAATCACCTCCAATTCAATACTATTCCTTCCCTCTTCGGGCAATCTTTTAGATAAGCTAATTAATTCAAGAAGTATGTTCAGAGAATGATTTGCCTCATTTGGAAGAGCAAAATTTAATCCACTTTTCAATAAAAGTACCACACTATCCTCCAGAGTTGTACTGTATAAATTGATTACTTATCTTTCCCTAGTTTGCTACAACCATGGTTAGTGTAACCTTTTTTTGATGATTTTGAATTTCATTATCACTCCTTAAATGACTTCGAAAAGTAATACTTTACCTCATTACTGTATTATTTATTCTCCGAATATCATTGAAGAGCATGCATTATATCACTTAAAAGTGTATTTGTAAAGTTATCTTTTTTTATTCTCTTTTTCCTTAATTAAGTACTTATAGCTATACAAGTGTCATATTTTGAGTATTCGCATTTCATAATTTAACCAGGTTCATAAATTAATATTATTTACTTCTAAATGTCGTTAATATCTTTGGGCGATCTATAATTTGTAGTTCATTTATCATAAGATCTATAATATGTGACTCCTACCCTTTTGTCTTCACATGTATTCTGATCATACCTCTCAAGAAATCGACTTACCTTCCGCAATTAGCTTGAAACTAAGGTATTTCATGGTTCCTCAGACGAGATATATAAAAGTTATTTGGCTTCGGCCTTTAAGCCACGCGAATTTTGTTAAGAGGATTTTCAATACCATCAAGGACTTCCATTGATGTTATAATCGAAAGTTCACCATCAAGTGTGGGCCCGGGCCTGCAACTCACGCATAATAAGCTGACGGCATGCACTGGACGCGCAATCCTTTAGACAGTATACCTTTACAGCAAGTTATGCATAGTGTTGGTCTTATTTATGGATAATGCTCAGCGAGATGCTGTCTGAATGAACTACCAGTCCAAATTATAAGGTATGATGAAAGACGGTTGGGTTGAGTCCAAATAAGCCAATACATCAGAGTATATGCCATAATAATAAAAGTCATATGCTATTTGATCTCAGTTTAGATTCTACAGTTTGCAAGAAGTTCGGTGAACAAATAGATTCCTCTCTTTGTTAAATTATTTCTTTTCATCCATGCGTATGATATAGCATCACTTTGGTATGAATTCGTTTACGCTACTATTTGATATTAGCTAAAGCTATATTTGAAGTTAACAATGTTAATTATTGTCATTTTCGCTTGTTACTCGATTGAATATGCTTCTACTCATTAAGTTTTTTAAGTTTTTATCTCTCTTACCTTGCTTTCAACCTCCATTTTCCTGTAGACACCGATCGGCTTGTTTGTCCGATTACTAATGGCATGGTATGGGGTCCTGTACAGCTACAACTGGATGATTTACAGTCTGCTTTGCTGGCTGGAGGACGTCACTCGCGAAGGTTTGAATTTGATCTGACCGCTAGTCACCTAACAACTATTGTTAACCGCTGTGATCTGGACATCGTAGTATGTAGTCACTTGATTAGCGAACCACTCCAAGTCTGCCATTGGCCACCGGCTGATTGTCTACAGATCCGATTCAACGAGGTTCCGCTCCAGCTGGATCGCCATCCACGCCAATATCATGGTCCTCCAGTTTCCTCGACATGTCAAGGCCAGACATCGACTGCCCCTGCGCACAAAGTAGCTTGTGTAAAGCAACTATGTAGGCCTGGAAGGAACTGTCTTGAGATATCAGTGATCGGTCTTGGTGAGGAGCCCAACATTCCCGGAGTTGCTGCCAAGCGACGTGCAATCTTTAATATGCTCAAAGTATGCCCTTTAAATCCGAGTTCTTCCATTTTGTACTATTTTTGCTATTGGTTGACTAAGATGCCGAAGTTTGTATTTGTGCTTTGTATACTGTTTAGACTGTTCTTCGTTCTCTTGCATAAGGGCTATTCTTATATTTTTTTATTTACAAGTTTTGATCATATAAACATTTAAGTGGTCATTTCTCAATCAGTTTCTATTAGACGTATCAGATATAGTAGTATTGATATATCTCAAATGAAGCAATTGCCGGAGTCAATTCAATATATACGTTTTTTACACAAGGCCGCAATTTTATTGATTAAATGTAGACAATTCTTTCACTTTAAGCATGTATTGCCTTGTTCATATGAATAGAATAGCTCCATCCAAGATTCTTTAAATATTCCCACTTAGTGTGTTCTAACGAGGCAGGCGTGTAAGTCAAAAGACATAAGCGGTGAAGAGGTTTTTATTTTAATTTTTTTATGTAGTTGGATTTGTAGGGTCGTACTATTATTTACCTGATTTGGTTGAAAAATATTTTTTTAATGTTTTCTTATTTTGCATTACGTTTTATATGTGGGGCACGATGCATGCGAATATCCTTCAGCTACACATAACTACCTTATACTGTCTCCAGAAGGATCCCTTTAATCAATAAAATAGTTTACAGTCTGCTACTACTAGCTTCGCCCATGTTTTTTAGGCGCCCGAAAACTTTATAAATGCATTGTACCCATTTTGACAAGCTTATTTCATTAGCTCGCTGCGAACGGTGATCATATATGAGACCAAGGCAATATGAATCTACTCAAATCCATTGATAATCTACTTAAGCATCACCTCGTGCATACGCTTTTACGTTATAATCTCCAGAATGCTCAAACCCGATTAACTCCCATCTATCTATCGTTAGTTATTATGCGCTGATTGATTCTTACCTTTCGTTTTCTCTTACCCCACTTTATTCACTCCACGAGTCTATCTTTCTTTATTTTCTTATTTTTTATCCCACGAGATCTCATATTGTCCGGATCTACTGTTGTATTTATTTGTATATGCTAAGATACCAAAGCCTCTGGCTTCAATTCTCATAAGCTGCTACCATCACGCCAACACGCCGCTTTCGTAAATCGTTTTTAATTATACTGACTTAAATGGGTCAATATCTGAGGATACAAGCCTTGGAGACCGAAGCGCTAATGCGTTGCAGAGATTGAGGGTGCATAAACA